GTGACGGACGTGAGGAAACTAATCACAATCGCCACTTTGCTCAGCTGGTTGGCTTTACACTGCTGCCATCTACAGGTTGTGACTGAAAACATCATCATTAACGACGTCATCGTCATCATCATCAAAATAATCATCACCAACAGCGATATCGCCATCGCAGAAAATGAACTGGTGAAAACGGTTTGATGAAAACAACAGCAGTAATAATGGCAGTACAATGGTAACGATGCATGTTTATGTTTCAATGTTTCTGTTTCTGTTTCAATTTTACACTGTTATATGGATTTAAAAAATACACATTAACATAACAGTACATCTAAGGTCGCTTATCACAAAAACGCATTTTCCTTAACATTCGTTTAACTTGGTGGTCAACTTGGTGTTAAAATATCTTTGCCGTCATTACCAAGAGTAACCACTGGATGGCAGCAGAAGAGCATTTGAAATTTTAGACGGGGTCGCTCCTTCATGCCATGTGTCTCAGCTCTGTGGCTGAAGTGTTGTTTGGAACAGAATCTGAAGACGTTTTGAAGTGAAGTGAAGTTTTTGTCTTCAGATTCTGGGCTAAAAAACTTTTTTATTTATTTATCATATTCTCACTGATAAAGATTCTCACTCTCATTTTTTAAGGCATTTTCGGTTTATGATTTTTCATAAAATCCCACATAAAGGCTGCAACCAGTGTAATGAGGCAGCTGTTTTAACCAGGTTTTGTAAAAAAATAAAGAAAAAACAAAAAAAGTGTAAGAAGAGTGTTATAATAATAAATAATATAATAATAATAATAATAAAAAATAATAATTATTATTATATATAACAATAATAATAACAATAAGACTAACACTACTACTACTACTAATAATAATAATATATACAATTAATTAATTAATTAATGATTCCAGTAGCATACTGTAGCATATATAACATATACTTCAATAAAGGTGATAAAACTTCAAATATTTCTGCCCCACTAGACAATTCACTTGAAACACATCACTTTCTTGAAACTACTGGACCTGAACCCACAGTCAGAGGTCACACACACACACACACACACACACACTGCAGCTGCTGTGACATTAACACATTCTTTTGTTTTTGTCTTTGTTTCTATGATTGTTGTGGTGTACTCTTTTTTGGTTTTTTCCCCACCACCCTCCATCTTGACAGAAAATGTTTCTGCCCACTCATCGCGACACCTGCTGAGGAGCGGTCCAGACCTCGGTCTGAGCAGGGTCTACACGTGTGTTTCCACCTCACACTTGGCTGCAACCACAAAAGAAGCAACGCCATTTGTCAAAGCAGGGGACGTAGCTGCAGCTGCACCGTGTGTTAGTTCTGTTGATATATACGTTATTTTTATAACATTCCCACAGAGCCCCCCGGTCCAGACTGATGATTCTTCAGCTCTACAGGTTTATATATATATAAATATATAAATATATATATATGCTGTTTTTATAAATCCCGATCTCAATCGCTGCATTGGAAGCAACCCAATGCAATTTTTTTATTAATCACAGAAGCAACAACCAAAAACTTCTTCCATCCAAACACACAGGTTTGAGTGGAACAGTTTTCTTTACAGTAGAGTTTCATCAGAGCAGATCCCTGATGAACACCACAGTGGGCTAACAGGTCTTGACTGGGGGGTGGGAGAGGTCAGGGGTGTTTACAGTATGTCTTGTTGCCCTAATAATCACACAGTCAACCTGTTCAATCTCCACAACATTCAGATCAATTCTAAATGTCCAGCGTCAGTGCTGCTGCTCGTGCTCCCGTTCGTCGCAGCTGTGAACCCAGTCAGGTCAGACGGTCGGCGCCGACATCTCCATCTCCATCTCCATGTCAATAAAACCTTTATCAAAGTGCACGT